ATTGTTTGATTTAATTCACTCCCATAAATATGTGCTTTTTGATGTATGTGTATATATAATTGCAACAAATTAAAGGAAACAGGAGTATAACTGCCTATGTGAAACCCCAGTGACACTGCCAAACCCAGGCTTTGCAGAGAATGTTTACAAGAGGTTTGTGAAAGTGTTTTATGGCAGTACAATGTCCCAATATATATTAATTTATTATGGTTTGACCTGTATGTGTATGCATCTTGGACATGCCTTGACTGATCACATTCAAACATCATACATCTATTTGTTTTATGATCTGATTCAATAGGCCCAAAATCAAGCATTCCTCCATTCCACATGGATTTCATTTATGATTGGTACATTGATGTACATTAAACATAATGCAATCCTGATGCATCTTATTTTGTTTTTTATAGCGGATTCTGGTGGCTATTTTTGTTTTACCGGTAATTTGGGTCAAAAGCTATATCTCTGGTTTTACCAATCATGTTCAAACTTCAAAAATTAAAAATGGACAAATGATAGAAATTTTGTAGTATCGAATGCTGTTCTGAAACCATACCTTTACTGATTGCCATCAAATTTTACGACCACATTTTACATCATATTACACTTACTGATTCATTTGTTTCAAGTTTTGATTCAAAGTAAAAATGAGGCATTTCAGTATAGAAGAAAGAGGTTATTACATTCTATTGCTTTGATATTACATATATAGGTACTACATGTAGACCTCTCTCAGATTTGTTCATTTCGTGACGATATCTTCAATTATCTAATTTTGATGAATATTTTAGTCATTTTTGGTGAATGAAAAGTGATATTTTCGAATTATTGTTGAAAACAGCAAGTCTGATTGCTTTGATACTATACATATTGTTCATTTTCTGATGATATCTTCAGTTCTTTAATTGAAATGTGCATTGCTAACAGCGGAGCTATATCAGTCGATAGACTGCTTGTTCACAAAAAGTGATAGTATGCCTGGCACTGTACACATTTACTTCAAGCAGCTTTGTGTAAAATGTGGCAAATGATCAAAAATTTAAACGATGATATCCCAAGTAAGTTGTTATTGCCATATTGATTTTTGATACTTTCTCCACACAGTTCAAATCGCACAAATGAAATATTTGCAACGCCCCTCACACAGTATATAGAATGGAATGTTTGAGGCAACCTCGAAAAGGTCTATTTGTTTTAGTTTAAATTAAGTAATCCACTGTTTGAAGTTTTTATAAATGGTCAGAGTCATTTCAAAGCTTAGACTACAAAGTCGTGGTAGCATATATTTAGCATAATTAGCAACATTCCATGTGCTTTTAATGGCATAGCACTGCTTATTTTATGTTGGTCACTAGTTCATCAACATTCTTTGCCTACAAAGTTACAAACAGATGAACTAGGCTTTGAAGCTCCATCTGTTGTATTTAATGATGCATTAACTAATCTTGTATACTAATAAAGGTTGGCCCGAGGAAACAAGAGGTGTAGACAGAATGTTAAACAAGAAAAATTATGGACAGCCAATATGAAAAACTTAATCATTGTTTAGCTGTGAGTGAAAATAGCCACTAATACTGTGAAATACTTTATTTTCGCTGGAATTAATTATTTTTACTGATTTTTGATGAGTTTAATGTGAAATATAGGAAAAAAAGTATATTCACTGGATTTTATTTACACGGAATCATCCCTTCAACGAAAATAGCAAAAATAAATTCCAAGCGAAAATAAAGTATTCTACAGTTGGTTGTTGTAATGGTTTGTCCCATCTTCAGTGTTTGGAGCTGCATTGCCTATTTGAATGACATTGTTTAGACATTTTTCATTTTGTCACATTGTCTGTTCGAATGACATTGTTTACACATTTTTCATTTTGTCACATTGTCTGTTCGAATGACATTGTTTACACATTTTTCATTTTGTCACATTGTCTGTTTGAATGACTTTGTTTACACATTTGTCATTTCGTCACACAAAGCAATTGTTTGCTAGGGAGCCTGATTTATATGAATGATATTGGCAAGTTAGTGAGATAGATGTTCATGTGAAAATGAAAAAAATAAATAACTACTTCAAATTTATAAGCATATAACCAACCTCGCTGAACATGTATAATATGCAAATTATACATTGACATGAAGTTTGACGCCCTCTATATTATTCAAATTAAAAAGTTTTTGTTTTATATTAATTAAAAACATACTAATAATTTGTATTATTCTGTTATGGCTTCAAGTTGGTTGGCAATAGAACAGTATTAGACAAATTTTGAATTGTCAGTATATAGGTGGGTATTCATGAATTTTCAAAACAGTTTGCTTCTGGATGGAGTAATGAACTGTATAAACTTTGATAGCTTAGCATTGAACCATGTTGTAATTAATGAATGTGAAGTATGAATCATGTACCAGGTTCATAAGATGCCAAGGTCAGATCAGTATCTGGGTATTGCTTGCATTCTCATGGTTTTCAATTCTAAGAGAGCAGTATCTCATTAGTGACTTTCTTCAATTCAGATGAGATATATTGATGGATCAAGTTACTCTGGTGTCAATTCAAATTGAGTTTGTCTAAATAATAATTCCAATATAAATTAGCTAATATCTAGTGCAGCCCTAATACATGGTTAGTTAAGGATTGAAATCTATCTAATTTACATTGATCAATAAGCTGAATTTTATATCTGATATCTTAGACATCAAACGACAGATGTACAATCCAAATATATTCATTTTGGTAATGTTTTTAGAATTTTCTGTTAGTACATGTATTATAAACTTCAATTCTATGAATCAGTTTGCTTTTATGTTGTGCATTTCAAATGGCAGAGCTATATTTGCTGGCTTGTTTAATAGCCTTGTTTTACATTTTTAATAAGTCCCCGTTTGGACGCAGTCCGAAAATGAAGATTTACGGAATTACCTCTTTGCACGTGTCCATGTGTCTGTGCGTCCAAACCTACATCTTAGACATGCCTGAACCAATTGCATTCAAACTTAACACATGCATCATATGCATAATATTATACATTTGCTCATCAACATTAACAATCTGATTCAAGATGGCCAATTATTGGCCATTTTGTGGTGAAAAATCATCAAAATCAAGCATTTTTGGCATTCCGGAACTGGGTTTTGGTCATTTGTATTTTGTTCAAACTTAGTATATATACATTAGACATTATTGGTCCCTGCTCGTCATTTTGTTTTCACATCGGATTTGAAATGGCTGACTGGCGGCCATTTTGTTTTAATGAATGAGGTTCTAGAGCCGTATCTCTCAATATGAACAAGTACTTGTTTGATTAAATACAAGATGACAGAACGTCAACCTTTTTAATGTTAAAAATCATCATAATCAACCATCTGGATCTATATCTTTGACATGTTTATGTTCCAACTATATTACTATAAACAAAACTATATATTTTAAATTTTATAACTAACAGGGAATGTGCCATGTTAATTTTTGAATATTCTCTTTTTCATATCTCCAATACTTTGAGTGCATTCATTCTATGGTTTCCTTTTGAAGTGCACAGTGTGCATGGTCTTATGGGATGAACTGTTAAATTATAAGGCTGACTCTACACCATATTCAAGTTCCTTATAAAGTAAATATTATCAAAGACTAGCCCTGTTACTAGCCCTATTATTTGTGCAAATTTTTGTTGAACTGCTTGACTATAGTCCATGGTGTGTGTAATCACAAACCATGGTGTGTTGTATCTTATCTTATTCCTCATAACTGGTGCTATGCTTGGAAAAGATTATTTTAAAAGGGCAAAACGTCCCTCTTCAATCAATCTACGGAGTTAAAATCAGAAACAGCCATTGTATGTTGATGATCAACATGGGGGTCCTAAGAAACAGTTTGCCAGACATTAAAACAGACGTTTTATCTTGACAATTGCCATGGCTCCAAGAAACTGTCGCCAGACATGAAAAATATCGATACTTTGAATGACTTTGGAATGTTTCGACTCGCGCATTGCAACATGGGAAAAGGTCAACATAGAAAACGGATTTAGATGGCATATTTGACAACAACAAACTTTCAGATTTTATTACAATTGTATAAAAAACAAAGGGCAACACATTTTTGATATACATGAGGTAAGGCTTAGGCAAACTAAAGTACATACATTTGCTGTCATTATGTTTTATAGTAATACCAAAAAATCTGCATTAGAAGCCACATCCCTAATAGAAGTCACACCCATTCTTTTTGAATAATTGTAAAACCAAACATTCACAATTTCTTGTATGTGTAGATGCTCTAATAGAAGCAACATTCTCTCTGTTGCATTGTACCATTTTGATAGAAACTGAGACTTGTAATACAGATTTTACAGTACTAATGAAAACCTGCTGTCATACCCATCTCAGCCTTGACATGCAAGTTTCATATGTAGGTCACCAATAATAACAGTCCTTCAAACATCAATGTAACATGGTTGTTTTCAAAGGTCTCCAAGGGATTGATGATATTAATCATCCACTATGATATCAAAATCGTGTTTATCTTAGTCATTAAGTTTTAAAAATAATTTCCTAGGAATTTTACATCCCAAACAAAGATCAAATGTCTTGCTAAGGATGTTAAAATATCTTTTGTTTTAACTTTCATTTGCCTGCTGGAAGTTTTACTCTGTTTGTTTTCACATACTTCAAATACAATGTTAGTATCTGTAACCCACCATTTTGAATTCACCAAATCACTTACTCTTGTCTTTTGGGGTTAAAATTATCGTCAAATTGGCATGTTATTTCATTCAAAGGAATCTGGTATTATCTGTATTTGCTGTATTCTCTTAAGTGCAGCTCTTAGAGAAGTGCACATGCAACAAAATTGCATTTAATGTATCATAGATAATGAAATATGACTTATTTTGACAATTGACTAATTTTTGACATCTACGTAAATGCAGCACTACAAATGGAGGGTATTTTTGTTTGTTTGGGAGGCGGGTACAACATGCAGCATATTCTTCATAGAGTATGCTAATGTGTGATATAGAAACTATTGCATATTCAGTACATAGTAAGACCTTTATCCTGTTCTGGTTGGTAAGTAAAATCTAATTCATATTTGCAATTTTAATCATTAAGATGTCATATGATAGACCATAGAAAGAAGGGCTCCATAGTTAGATCAAAGGTTTGTGTTCTTTAATTTGATTCTTTTTTGTTGTATTAATTAAAATGTTCTGATGCTCTGTATGTTTAAGACATTTTCATTCAACATACTAGAAAAATATTAATTTATAAAATGTTGGTATTGTCTCATGTATTCATTCATTCTATTCCAGGGTCTTCCAGGTAGATTAGGACCACAGGGATCCAAAGGATTGATTGGTTTTCCAGGAAAAATAGGATTAACTGGTGAAAAAGGATTCAAAGGTCAACATGGAGAAACAGGATTACGAGGTCCACAGGGAGATTTGGTGAGAGCTAATACTAAATAAATTTCATATCACTACTACCGGTAGCACTTTTGGGGCCAAGGATTTGTTGTAATGTAACAATATCAGATTGTTTGTGAGAGCTAAATTTCACAAAAGTTACTGAACTGAAAATTTGCCACCCTCATTCATGGAGTGGGGTGGGGTTATTTGGTTTTGATATTATAGATGAAAAGTATAACTGACACAATTCATTTTCCACCCTCATTCATGGAGTGGGGTGGGGTTGTTTGGTTTTGATATTATAGATGAAACTATAACTGACACAATTCATTTTTGTATATATTTGCAGGGTATGATTGGTGTGCCTGGTTTCCCAGGTATTAATGGTATTCCAGGTGTACAGGGTATTGCTGGTTCTCCTGGTAGGCGAGGTCTTGACGGTTGCAATGGTACCAGGGTCAGTACATAAATTTAATGCACATTTTTTAGTTCCGCTGTCGACTTTGTCGAGCGGAGCTTATCATATGAGTGATTGTCCGTCGTTGTCCGTGTCAATGTTTTTCGACTTCTTCTTGAAAACTACAAGCCTGAATGCTTTGATACTTGGTGTATTTGTACTTTGGGTAGACCTCTCTCAGATTTGTTCATTTCATGATCATATCTTCAATTTTCTAATTTTGGTGTCCAATTGCTTTGATAATACATATATAGGTACTACATGTGGACCTCTCTCAGATTTGTTCATTTTGTAATGATATCTTTAATTCTCTAATTTTGGTGTATACTTTTGTCATTTTTGGTAAAAAGTGATATTTTCAATTTCTTGTTAAAAACCGCAAGTCCAATTGCTTTGATATTACATATATAGGGTACTACATGTGGACCTCTCTCAGATTTGTTCATTTTGTAATGATACCTTCAATTCTCTGATTTGAGTGAATATTTTTGTCATTTTTGGTAAAAAGTGATATTTTCGACAAGTCCAATTGCTTTGATATTATTACATATATACATGTAGGTACTACATGTGGACCTCTCTCAGATTTGTTCATTTTGTAATGATATCTTTAATTATCTAATTTTGGTGAATATTTTTGTCATTTTTGGTAAAAAGTGATATTCTTGTTAAAAACCACAATCATTTATGGTGAAAAATTATATTTTTGAATTCTTGTTGAAAACAGCAAGTCCCAGTGCATTGATACTATGCATATTGTTCATTTTCTAATGATATCTTCTGTTCTTTAATTGAAATGTGCATTGATAACAGCGGAGCTATCTCAGCCGAGAGGCTGCTTGTTCGATAGATATGCTGCCTTTTTCTGAGATGATCTCTACAATGACTTAAGATATTAAATGCCTTCTTATTCTCCTGAGTGAATATATTCAGATTATAATATAAACAATAACTATGAGCTTGTTTTTAAACAGTTATGAAAGAATTATTTTATTTTTTTAATAGAAAAAAAACAAGAGTAAATTTTTTTTCATAAATTCTCCCAGTGAGGGCGCCAGTCTGATTGTTTTCAGTTTTCCAATGGACACATAAATACATATGCATTAATGCCTACAAAATATTTGATATTTAAAATTTTGTTGTTGTTGATAGGGTGAGCCAGGTTTGCCTGGTTATGGTGATGGTGGTATTGGGCTGCCAGGACCTAGGGTTTGTACACTTACTGTCAATTTTTAAAAATGTTTGAGCATCGTATTTGTTCAGCATCTCATGTTTATAAATATATTAAATTATATTAAAATGCTGTTATTCTTATTATTTATTTACTTAAGTTCAACTTAAACAAGAAATTAAGCTCTTACTACCTGTGTATTTAGGGTCCTCTCGGTCTGAAAGGTCTAAAAGGTGAACCTGGACCAGTTCCTGATATGAATAATGGTATAATGAAAGGGGAGCCTGGTGAAAAAGGAGTTCCTGGAGTAGATGGTCAGCCAGTAAGTAGGCTATAATCCACCCTGTTGAGTTATGTTGTTGAACAATAATAAATATTTTGTTTTTGTAAATGTAGTTATTTAGTTATTTACTTTCTGAACATAATTTGTTTTTGCTACCTTGATGCACCATTCAAAATGTATAATTTTCAGTGAATTATATAAAGTGGACATATTGTCTATTTTAGGGTGCTACTGCTCCTTCTGGTACAGCTGGTATGAAAGGAGAAAGTGGAAGCAAAGGAATGAGGGTAAGTTATGAACAGTTTTATTGTGTTATTCACTATTTAAAAGTGTCTATAAATAGCTTTGATTGCTACAAGGTATGGATAGAATGTTTATTAGTCCCCATTCTGGGGCAGTCTGAAAATAGGACTTATGGATTGACCTCTTTGCGTCAGTTCATCCATGCATCTCGGACATGCCTGGGCTGATCACATTCAAATTTCATACATACATATTGGGATATATATGCATGTCCATCTGTTTCACAATCTGATTTAAGATGGCTGAATGGTGGCCATGTTTAAAATTCATCAAAATCAAATATTTCTGCCATTCCAGAGGTGGATTTGAGTCATATATGAATGAATATTGTTCGGACTTGGTATGAACATTTTACATAATACCTTGACAAATCAATTTCAAACTTTATAAATAAATGGCTGAATGTCGGCCATTTTAATGTTAAAATTCAACAAAATCAAGCATTCTTCCGTTTCGGACCTTTATCTTAATACAGATTCTAAATATGTGATTGCAAATGCTGTTCTAGATTTATATTTTCATACATTGACTGATCATATTGAAAAATACAGAAATAGAAACTTGTAGTTTTCTTTCCTTATTCAAGCTTTTTGTTTCATGTTCTGTTTCAAAATGGCCTACTCATCTCTGAACGAGCCATGACATTGACTTGTTGATGTTATTATTTATTAAGTGATTTTTATTTGACTTTTTTTATTATTGGTTAGTATACATGCTTTATCCATTTGAGGTTTAGTTCATTTGGTAAGTTAATGGGAATTAAACATCCTGCTGTATTTTGTTGTGTATCATAAACATGTGCATTTAAATAAGTTAATTTATTTCTCTTAGGGTTCACCTGGTCGTCAAGGTATTAAAGGTGAGAGAGGTAACATGGGTATTGGATTTATAGGACAGCCAGGAGAACGTGTAAGTAATAATTCAGTTGTCTATAAATCCATGATGTGTGACTTATAGCATGCATGGTGCGCTCACTATTCTATGCAATACAAGAAGTAAACATGATGGACAATATTAATAAACATTGCATCATTAACCATTGAAATTCATGAGTATATTATTTTAAATAATATTCTTGAAAATATACTATGTGTGAAAGCACCATTCTAACCATGTTCTGTCATGCATTTAACATAAAATATTCTAATTACTGGTAGGTTATCACTTACTTTAAAGATGTAAAATTAAGTATTAATCTCTCAAGTATATGAAGTTGGATTCCAGCATAACTGTTAAAACTTGTTAACCCTTTGAGAGCCAATGTCAAGTTCAGGCACCATCCACAAAATAGTTCCATTTATAGTCTGCTCTTTTCCAAATAAAATATTGACAACTGTTTTAATGAAAAACAAGAAGCAATGTCACATTTTGAATTCAGTGAAAATTACAGAAAATGTCAATACTTTAACCTAATTTGAGTTCAAATGGAGGTGACATGGCAAGGCCATAGGGGTTACTTTCTGTTGATGTTATTGTTGTCATTGTCACCATCGCTGTTATTATTTCTAACTCTTTGTAGTGCAGATTAATTGTTGTCAATTTACTGATCTTTGCTCAGTTTTTGGTGACTTAAACAGAATTAGTAGCTTGTAATAAATTTGTAAGAAGTGTAATAATGTCTTTCCCAAATGTCTGCCTCAGATTGAAAACATGAAATCTACACTTGTATTATTGGATACAAATGAATACTGATAAGATCAACTTGGGTTCATACCTGTTTTATTTTTTAAAGCATTAAAGTTACACAAACATTATACTGAGTAAAGTAACATAATGAAAAAAAAAAAACTTTTTAAATTTGTTATATAATTTTTTGTTTTTATTTTGATAGCTCATCATCACTGGTTCAGTAAAACTCACTCCTAATATGTTAGCAGATAGAGTTTTAATAATAACTGAGAAACAACTAATTTTGTAAATAATTACTGATATTTGATCGTTTTATCATTCTTAGTCATTTAGATGAAGTCCAAAAACCAAGACTTCATGTCTATATATCTGTACATGTATACCTACATCCTTTGACATGTCTGAACTGACCATGTTTAACCTTCTATTGCTACTAAAAAGTCATCAAAATCAAACATTTTTAGCATTACAGAGTCAGATCTTAGTGTGTATCCATGAATTTCATTCAAACTTGATTCATACATTGAACATTATGGGACATTTATGTATGTCACTTTGTGTTGCAGATTAAATTTAAAATGGATAACTGATGACTAGTTTGTTGTCTGGTATTCACTCTAAAGTGATCAAGTTTGTGTTCTGGCTTCAATTTTATGGTTGTTTTATTAACACATCGCTTACTTTATTTATAGTTCACTAGCAATCACAGGCAAGGTGTTCTGTTGATCTGGGGATGTCATCCTATCTTCTTAGCCTTGGTTTGAAAAATCCAATTCTTAAAAATAATTTTCCTTACTTTTTAGTCATTCAGGTCTACTTGATATTATTCCACCCTAAACTATCTTGAGCCGAATTTTATCACCATATATTTATCTCTAAAATCCTTGTCCAACTTTTTTCATGCTTTCTTCGGTCTACCTACCACCAACATTTATCCTATGTAATAATGATCCATGTTACTATTGTCCATATGCTTGCTGATCTTGTATGTATTGAATTATTCTTATTAGAATAAAATATGAATACTATGGTATTTTTTAAATTTTCTAGGGAGATCCCGGGCCTCCTGGCCTATCACAGGTTGTTGAACCACTACCAACTGAATTGGGACCAGCTGGTGACAAAGGAGTGAAAGGTCCAAGGGTAATGTCAGCCAAAAAGTATAAAGTGTGAAATTGTTGTATATTAATTGTGTATGCTAAATTGCATTGCAAAATATTGTAATGATCTAATGTAACCGTGATACAACATATGTATAGTCACTCAGTGGACCTTATGTTAGGTAGTACTAACCCATTCTATGCAATGAGATGGACCTTTTGTAAACAAAAAGTAATATTCTTGGATAATTTGAGAGGAGATAGCTAGCCCACCCAATCTTAAGACTACCAAGTTTTATTATGTTGATTTTGAACATGATAAAAATATATATATATATTGATGTCTTTATTTTTTTTTGATCAGGGTGACTTTGGTATGAAAGGACCAACAGGAGAAGATGGAATGCCAGGACCAAAGGTATGTTGTGTATTATGTTACATGTACAAACCTGTCATTAGAACAGTAATTCGTTGATATGTTTGTTTAGTTTGTTTTTGAGCTACCCATTGGATTGGTGTGCATCGTCAATTCCAGCTTGGGGAAATACAAATTCTCTCCATATCCTTT